TATATAAATAAATATTTATATATGTGTGTATGTATAGGTCAAAATTTCTGATTTTTGAAATGTGAAAGTTGTTTTGTTATTTTTGAAATAGGGTAAAGATAAAGTAGGAAAACTGAATTTTTCCCTAAATAAAATTGATTATTTATCTAAAGACCATGACTGCTAATGGTTCAAGCTAGCCAGAGTAACTTGGCCCATTAGATATCTGATGGGCCCAATGGACAAGATCCAAGGGTCTTGAGTCCAAATGGCTCCAACTCACCTTCTCTCTTTGGTCCTTTTAATTCAGCACGGTGCAAAACGAGGATATTCAAAGTGGATTGAGGCTAGCATCGTCCTAATAACTATAAACAAAAAACAAATATTCACTCGAAAAAAGTCACTAAGCACATATTTTATACTTTGCTTTTCCTTTACTTAATTATCAGAGGGTCCTTATCCACACAAAGAAAAAAAAAATAAAAAAATAAATTGGAATAATGTTTTTTGGGAGAATGTTTAAATAAAGATAAGAAAAATTTTATGTTTACGTGTAATATTATTTTATTGAATAATGTGATTGAAAATAAGAAATAAAAAAAAATATTTTTTGAATGATGAAGCCCAAACAAGGGCACGATCTCTTCAAGAGAATAATGTACAAGTTATTGGTAAGTTGTGAATCTTAATTGTTGTTGTCACATAGAGTTTGTATACGGTCAAAATTTCATTAAGGACAATTTATAATTTCAATTTTATCATAATTTTTATTATAAATAGAGAGTCGTCATTAGCACTTATATCATTATAAAAAAGTTAGAGATATTTGAAAAAAAATAGGGTGCATGACGTTTCTTTCGTAACTTCTTTTTATCATACTGAAAATTTGAGAGGCAGGTGAGAATTTAGTCTCACGTTAATACGAATATCTATAACTCTTGGTTGATCTCGTGTTGATTCTGTAATTTTATTGCTATCGTTGTTATATAATTAAGATTTCTAATTCTCAAAAAGTAACAGAGAATATTAATTATCTTGCTCGCAGATATATATGAACGTGATTAATATATTTATTATTGCGAAAATTTTATGACTACAAGAATATATCACCTCCAAAATGAAAAAAAAATAAAAATGTTAATGAACCAAATATAAATTATGATCCGAGATTTGCATTTATTTCAATATGGAAGAAATGCAAAATTTAGGACTTTCGCTTCCCCTTTCCCTTTCACATTCACAGCCCACACAGAAATAAAACAAACAAACCCAATAATAATAGAGGAAGACACCAAAACACACACAGTTGAAATCTTCCATTTCTTCTTCAAGACACATTTGCAAACAGACCCTTTGAAAAATCTCCAAAACCCTAATTACTATAATCCCAAATTTACTTTTTCATTTTTTGTAATCGTTTACTAACGAATTCCCTAATTCAAAGTACTCGCACAAGTGCGCAACATATTCAACTATTCATACCCGCAGGATTTGATTTAACTGAATTGAGTGTAATGTCAGGTTCGGGAGGTTTCGCGGTGTCTCGGAGCCATGGTGGGGATAGGTTTTACAACCCACCGGCTGTACGTCGGCACCAGCAGATGCTGTTGCAGCAGCAGCAGGAGCAGGCGTTACAGCAACAGCAGCAGCATCGGCGGAAGCACCAGTTGCCGAGGGCGCCGGTGAAGTCGGAATCTTCTTCCGCCGCTGCGGTGGTGGAGTCGGGAAATCGGAGTGAGTCGGATGATTCAACGAAGTCATTGTCTAGACCATCTTCCGTCAGCCCGGCTTCGCCCCCCATACCAACGCCGGTGAATGTTACGAACTTAGACCGTTTGATGGATTCTGTTACTCCTTTCGTTCCTGCTCAGAATTTCTCTGAGGTATAAATTGGGTTTATTTATTTTTTATTCATTTTCTCTTTTTTTCTGGTGGAATGCCCCATAGCTCTGTTTTGTTTGCAACTAATAACGAAATGGAAGTACCGATTTAGTTATTTTATTTAGATCATCAGAAGAACTTGTTTTTGCATGAGAGATGAGCCAATTTTAAGTGTCTAAAATTCAGAATCAAGTTTACTTCATTTTCTTGAAATTTAAATTTGGCGAGTTCCTTGTAGATTTTTTAGCATCACAGGATTAGCGTGTAAAACATGGGATTTCAAATTAAATGGATTTGAATGCCAATTTTTATTAGAATCCCACGTTGGTCGGTGATATTTTACAAGATCCACTTAATAAGGTGAAGGCAATCCTCCCCTAACAGGCCGATTTTGTTAGGTTGAGTTAGGCCAATATCCTTTCTAATATGGTATTAGAGCAGATCCAGTTTTGTAATGTTGGGTGCACCCAATATCGATTTGTTCACAATTGTTTGGTATGGTCCACGCTGTGCGTGAGGGGACGTATTAGAATCCGACATTTGCCGGTGATATTTACAAGATTCACTTAATAAGGTGAGGCAATCCTCCCATAACAAGCAGATTTTGTTAGGTTGAGTTTGACCCAATATCCTTTCTAATAATTTTTGCCCCTAAGTTCTAATTTAGTTTATGTAAGTAAAAGGAGAAGAATGTTCTCAGTTGATTCATAGAAAGAATAGTTGTTAATTTGCGGCATTTGAAAATTTTGTGAAAATATAGATACTGGAAGATTGTGAAATTCTATCCTTTGAAAAGATATATGGAGAAACTAGGTTCTTGGAATTGCTTTCTTTTCTGAAATATTTCTAAATTTCATTCTTGAATGGTCTTTAATTTGCATTATTTTGAAAGATTTATGAGAGTAGTTTCTAGAAGGTTGTCAGTTTGAGCCAATTTGGGTCATTTATAGAAGTATTTTTTTGATACTTGTCAAGTTGTGAAAGTTTTGGAAGATCATACGAGAAAGGAAGCTCTTAAAAATTTGTAAATTTGTGGAAGATTCTGTTTTGACAGGTGAGAGTAAGAGGACGGAAAATGCAGGAAGTAGAGTCCCCTCCATTTTATTGCTTGGAGGATCTTTGGGAATCTTTTCGTGAATGGAGTGTGTATGGAGCTGGAGTACCTTTGTTGTTAAATGGGAAGGACCTAATCACACAATATTATGTTCCATACTTGTCAGGCATACAGTTGTATATAGACGAGTCAAAGCCTTCTTCATGTCTCAGGTGAGCCTTAATAATTTTAATCTTTGCTTGTGTTAATTGATTTTTAAATTTAATTAGGTTGGTGTCTCATTTTGATAATCAATTATGTTGTCTTTAATTATTAGTTTTCTAAGTAAGGTTTCATTGACCATTGACGTATCTATGTCAGTTGTTTCTGTTATGAGCTCTTAGTAGGCAACTTTATTGCTAGTGGCATTTCTTGATGCTGGCCCCTAAGGATCTTACTGTACCATAAATAGTTGGATTGTAAGACTTTCTCTTAGATCTCACTTCCTTCATCAATCCCAATGAAGGATATGATTATAGATGACCGCTTTTACCTGTACCAATTCTGCTCCACCAAGCCAGTGGACTAGTGGATCATCTTTCTGAGGAATAGAAGGATGCGGGGGTATTCGACTTGTCCAGCTACACAATGAGAAAAAAAATTTTGTGAACCAGCTCGAATATCATTCCATTTGATGGGATTTAAAATCGAGCAAGTGTGACCTACCAACAACGAACCAAAAAATGCAGTTTCCTCTTTATAACAGAAGCATGAACTGAAACAATGATACATCGGGGAAATAAGGAATTTAGCAAAAAAATTGATTCTTTTTTACCCTCTTATTTCGTATAGGGTATTTCAGAAGGCATTTTGTTGCGCAAATTGTTTTCTTTTACAATTCACTCATTCCATCTTTGTTAATGATGACTCAAGCCTGCTGCTTGACTTCTTGCATTGCCTTTTCATGGGTTTGTTTTTTCTTTTATCTATCTTCGAATGACAAGCTAAGACCCTAAATAGTTTGGGGGGTAGGGCTATAGAGTCAGCCGAGATGTTTGCATAGAAGTAGCCACTTCTAGTTTTTACAACCACAGGTGTCCTCCCTCGTAGACTCTTTATGCTACCTTACACAATCAATTAAAATATCTCCTTAATAAGAATACACACTGCCTATATTTCTACCATAAAGGATCTAAAAGAAAGTTCATATTAGAAATCGGGTCTTTTAGGCAGTTAAATATTATTTACTTGATGAAAATGAGAAATTTAAAACCACAATCCATTAGTTCTTATCTATCAATCTTGCCTAACAATAGAGAGTGGTTTTCCCTCCCATCAAAAATGGCTTCTAGATAGGTTTTCCTCTCTTCTTTCTTACCAAGTGGTAGATAGCTTTGCAATGCTACAGTAATGACAAATGATCTCTGGTCATATAAGTTCCCCTTCATGGTGGTAGACAAACTGTGATAGGAAGAATGTGTTTTACCTTACAGAAGTGCTGGAGATGAATATTAGTGAACTGTTTCTGTCATCGGCATTTGTCCTCTTTTAGTTCTTGAGGACTTGAGCAGTAAAATCAGGTGTATAATGGTGTTGAAGTTGCTTTTCCGTCTGTCCTTAGTTTTTTCTTACCTTCTCATTTTATTTTGTTGCATTGTTAAAGACTCGGTAATAAAATTCTTATTTATTCAATAACAGCATACTATTCTTGCTTTTCTATTTGCATCTTTTGAATTCCAAATATAATTGGGTTTATTAGATTAACAAGAGGACTATAGATGCCAAAACATTGTGGAATTTTAAGCAATCTGACCAATTTCTTTGGATGTGCTAGAAACTTTTGTCCATGTATTAGGGGATTTAATGCATGTATTACGCGATATATTCAAGAACTTATGTTTGTCTTTTTTGGGGTCTGCTTCTCCTTGTTCCCTACAAGGGAAATGTTTGTAAAGGCTCTAGCTGGCGAGTCTAAGATGGATAATTATTTTTGCTTGAAGTGTATAGCATCATTATTCTGGAAAAGCTGATTTCTGTTTCTTCCAGTAAAAACATATTTCCACAGTCTGTGATACTCGTTCTTCTTTGGGCAATATTTTGCTCCCCTATCGATCGCCTCTACTTCTTTGTATCGGTTACGAAAATATCCAGCCTAGATGATCAGTATAATATCCTTGAAGTGTTCACTTCTTTTTTGTCTTGTCTTAAATGTATTTAGGAGTGAATCATGTTTTACATACGAGGTTAAGGATATGATAGTAAATACCTCTTTAGGGTTACAATTGAACTTGTAAAAAAAGCAGTTGTTGAAGACGTTTTTATCGTAATTTAGCAAATTTGAATTGGCATTTTACAGAAGAAGAATTCAAATTGAAGGAATTTAAATTCACGATTTTCTCCACGCGTTATTGTCTTATCAATATACTAAGAAATGAAGTTGGAGAAGCGCCTGATAGGCTGCCTGACTCACTGGAATGGTATTATCTCAACCCCGTTCAGGTTATCAAGTGGCTAAAGCAACTTGGTACTTGATGCCCTTTGCACATTTATCATTGTTGAGCAGTTATATTGAATCTTTCTCGACAGATAATACATTGATTATTGGTTCAGGAAGGAAGCGTTTCAAGCATGTTGTCGTTGTTTAACCTCATTAAACATCCAAATATGCTGTGCTTGTCCTGTAGATTGCTTTATTCTTTTCAATAACATAATGATTTGTGGATCATGCTGACTGCTTTGCTTTTCACTTTACTCTTTTGTGAATGTGAAGCATTAAAAAAGGAAAAGCTGCCTACCTATCAAAAAAAAAAAGGAAAAGCTGCCTACCTTTTTTTTGCACTGGACACTGTAATATTGAGTATATCATTCCTATTTTTTTCTTTCCTTTTTAGGAGGCCTGGTGAGGAGAGTGATTCTGAGTCATCTAGGGAGACAAGTAGTGCTGGCAGCAGCGATCGTGAAGCAGATAAGCGATCCAAATCCATAGTTGATGTACGTCGGCCTCATCAGAATGCCCAGCAACCGAATAGGCTGTCAGCAAGAGATAAATTTGTAAAAAGTTCATCGAGTGATGAAGCTGAAATTTCCAATTGGCCTGGATTACTCTTGTTTGAATACTTAGAACAAGAACAACCGCATCTACGCAAACCACTGATTGATAAGGTTAGATTAACTTGAGATTAAAATATTGAATTAGCAGCTATTGATTTCTATGATCTGGCGAAGGACCTCATTTGAATATTTTCCCATAACCCCTGCAGATTTCTATTCTTGCATCCCAATTTCCTGAGCTGACACAGTGTAGGAGCTGTGATCTACTCTCGTCAAGTTGGATTTCTGTAGCTTGGTATTTTTTTAATTGCATATTTATTACATTTCTTTATACTTTTTGATTGAGACGTTTATGACTCTTACTGTCTTCTTTTTCGACAATCAAATTTATTGCAGGTATCCAATTTATAGAATACCCGTGAGCCCAACTCTAAAGGATCTGGATGCATCTTTTTTGACATTTCATTCCTTGTCAACACTATCTGGAAGTACTCTCTCTCTCTCTCTCTCTCTCTCTCTCTATATATATATATATATATATTTGTGCACCCATATGTGTCGAGCATGTATTGATCGTTCTTTCATTTTTACTGTACAGGTAATTTTCCACCTCGATTTCATGCTGCGAATACTAGGAAAGTCTGTGACAATGTTGACCCGTCTTCGAAAATTTCTTTACCAGTCTTTGGCCTAGCTTCCTACAAGCTGAAAGGTTCACTTTTGAGTCCTGCTGGACCCCTTGAATGTGAGCAAGAGAACCATCTTTTGCAATCTGCCGACAACTGGCTTAGAAATTTGCAGGTGAACCACCCCGATTACCAATTTTTTCGCACTCACTACTCTCAGCGAAGATGAGAGGGTCTGAAGTTTCGTCATGTGCCCATATCTAGTTGTAGTGGCTGAAGTTGAGTGCCAATTTTGGTACAAAGACAGATTTTTGGAAGCTATACTGCTATACAAAAAACAACCCCCTCTCCACCAAATATCCTGGTGAAAAACTGTGCAGTGTTGTTTAAGCTCTGTTTTACATTTTATTTGTGTACAATTCTTTCAAAGGCGTTATTATCAAAAGAGTAGGATATAATCATGCAGCAGCAGGCGGTGGCTGTTGATGCGCATGATAAAATAAATCGTTTTTAACATGGGATATTAGGTGTTCTGCTCTTATTTTTGCTGTTCGGAGAAATAGAAGAGATCCAATCCGGAATCTCAATTGACCTTGTCTCTTTTTTTTTTGTTGTGAAGGGGGGTGTAGGAGACGTTGATATCGGTATATTAGTAGAATGGCTGGCTATGGAGCCAGTAGTTAGATGTCCCCAACTGCTGTCTGATGAAAACTTGAACAATCTGTAGTCTGTACTTCTAAATGAATGTATAAAACCTATATCAACTAAAAGAGTTTTTGCAAAATGTTCTTAAATTTTTTAGATTTTACCGTATTTTGTCTGTAATATCATTGCATTGTTTTCTTTCTCTGATTGAGATATTACTTTCTGTTTTGAGGTCGGGATTTTATATTTGAACTCTCCAATCTCCATATAATTGCCCTGTTGGCTAAACACTGAGCTAGCCCTTGGTGAGGATATGATTAGCTGAACAATTTGGAAACTAAAGATTTTGAAAGCATTTTTAATTGTGCTCTGCCATTGTGAATACACCGGCTATTTAAAACTTTGGTCTAGACGAGGAAAGGAGAGGTTTGTGGTGGTAGAGAAGCATGTTTCTTTGGAGGTGAGCGCGGGAAAGGTTTCCTCGGATGGAGAGCAGGTTGCCAGTAGAGATGACGATGAGGAAAGCTGTTGGCCATGCTGGAGCCCCTTTTCCACCATTTTTGATTGCTATGGGGCTTCAGTGGTTTTCTAAGTTACCACTGAATTTACCGAAGTGTTATCCCATTCGTAACTCTCACTCGTATTTTTAAAATTAACACAAACTTGTTGACGGAATAGATGGAATCTTCACTTGTAGCATGCTTTCGATGTTGGTATATGCCACATAACCAAAATTGAGAGTGACACATGAGATAATATTTTGGCAAGTTCATTAGCACCTGAAAAGGCTTTCAATGTTCAATGCCTGCTAGGAAACATTTAATAAAGTTCATTAGGAACTCGGAGGAAACTTTAAAATTCAATGACAAATGAAATTCATTTAGGATTAGTGCCGACTACGATATTTAAACCTTTAAACCGACTGAAATCTATGCTCGTAAGTAGGTAACTTCTAATCTTGGAGGAAACTTTTAAAATTCAATGACAAAAGAAAACCATTTAAAAAAGATTAGTGCCGACTAGGATATTTAAACCTTTAAACCAACTGAAATCTTTACTCGTAAGTGGGTGACATCTAATTTTGAGTGGCCAAATCACTTGCATTGCAAATATTTGCTCTAGTGGCCGATAGGCTAATTCTCCAACACGGTAGGAGCAGTCACCAATAGATGCATAGATATTGCATTTGAGAACATAAAGAAAATAACTGGGTTCCAACTAGGGCTGTAAGCAAAAATCGCCAAACCGGAAAATCGAACCGAAACTGCAATTTCGAAACCGGCGGTTTGGTGCCACGTGGACCTATCAACGAAATGGTTTTGAACCAAACGAAACCGGTCAAAAACGGTTTGGTTTAGGTTTGAGAATTTTAATTATGGTTTGAGACCAAACCGGACCGGTGAAAAATATATAAAATAAAAAAATAAAAAATTATTTTTTTTTTTTGAAAATTTATCCAAAATTTCAATTTTGTAAAATTGAATAATTTTGTCATTTTGTAGGTATTTTTGT